TTACATAAAATAGATAATTTATTTAAGATTCCGCAATTTATATGGAAAAAATTATATAAGTATGAATAATTATAATAATTATTTTATATAATATAAAAATATATATAATTAATTAAGAATTAATATTATATAATATATATAATTATATATAAATTTATATATTAATAAATATGATTAATTTTTTTAGATATCAGAAAATTTCTGTACAATGGTTATGGGAATTGCATCTTCGTAGCTTAGGAGGATTATTAGGTGATGAAATGGGTTTGGGAAAGACTGTTCAAGTAATTGCATTTCTTGCAGGATTAGATTGTAGTGAATTATTATCTGATGGTGGAAGGTAAATAATTTTTACTTACCAACTACTATTTTTATTTTTGCAATATTTTATTTATTAATTACAAATTCAGAATCATTAAATATCATTCCTGAATGGTTTTCTCTTTAAAATCATTTACAGAATTCAACATATAAATTCAATATATAAATTCTGATTAAATAAAATTTTTCATAAAAATGCAAAAATATTACCTCAAAAATTCATGCATCAGTATTTGAAGTGTAATCTTTTGTATCGAAATAAAAAACATAAAATAAAAATTTTAATTAATATTGCATAAAATTTGCATTAGTATTTTTCTTATTGTTTATAATAATATATAATATTATATAATAATATATATTGTTTACAATAATTATATAAATTCATAATATTTAATTAATAATAAATACTTATTCACAGATTCAGAGGATTAGGACCAACTATCGTTATTTGTCCAGCTACATTAATGGAACAATGGGTAAAACATTTTCATGAATGGTGGCCCATTCTTAGAATAGTTGTTTTACATCAATCTGGAACTTATAATGGTAAGAATAATATCATATATATATAATATAATCTTATTTATTACTTTTATGTTATTAATAAATATTTGTAGGTAATTTGGAATATTTGATACATTCATTAAAATCTGGTGGTATAATAATTACTTCTTATTCTGGTATGCTTAAACATAAAGACTTACTTGTATCCAATCAATGGCATTATGTTATACTTGATGAAGGCCATAAAATAAGAAATCCACAAGCAAAGGTAATTTATTGTGTTCAATTCAACTTTAATTATGAAAGTTCAAGATTACATTATTGCAGGTCAGTAAAGCAGTAAAGGAGTTTTCTACACCACATCGACTTTTATTAACTGGTAGTCCTATGCAAAATTCTTTAAAAGAATTGTGGTCTCTTTTTGATTTTATTCTACCAGGAAAGTTAGGAACTTTACCTGCATTTCTAGAGCATTGTGCAGGTCCTATAACGCGAGGAGGATATGTTAATGCTACACCTCTTCAGGAAGCTACAGCACTTCAAGTTGCTATGATGCTTAGAGATGCTATTACACCATATATGCTCCGAAGAACAAAAAATGATGTACAACATCATGTTAGTTTACCAGAAAAAAATGAACAGGTTTATAATATGTTACATTATTTTTCATAATACTTCATAATTTGTTATTTCAATTCATGTATATTTTTTCTTAGGTTCTGTTTTGTAGTTTAACAGAAGAACAAAAGAAGCTATATAAAAAATATTTACGTTCTACAGATGTTAATTTCATTTTACATGAAAAAAATAATATGGAAAATGGAAAATATAGAGCTCGTCTTTTAATAGCATTATCAGCGCTCAGAAAAATATGTAACCATCCTGATTTATATCTTTACACCAGTCCAATTGTAAAATTTGAATTTTATATCATATATTGCAATATTATATATATTATTCATTATATTTAATTAAACTTCCATTTAGGATTCTGATGAAGACATTGATATATCAGATGAAATATTGGAGAAATTTGGATACTGGAAACATTCTGGCAAAATGATAGTAGTTCGATCTCTTCTTAAAATTTGGAAGAAACAAGGACATAGAGTACTTCTTTTTACTCAAGGAAGACAAGTAAATAAATTATATAATTATTCATTAAAAAAAACAAATTAAAAAATAATTTATGACTATTTTTGATTTACAGATGATGCATGTTTTAGAATCTTTGGTACAAAGTGAACAATACACTTACTTAAGAATGGATGGAACTACTCCTATGTCACATCGACAAGAAACAATTCGTTCGTTTAATAGAGTATATATATAAATAAATAATAAATATAGTTTATTAATATTTTAAGTTAGTCTATAATTTAAAATTTTGTAGGATTCATCATATTTTATTTTCCTATTAACTACACGTGTTGGAGGTTTAGGAGTAAATTTAACAGGAGCAAATCGGGTAGTTATTTATGATCCAGACTGGAATCCAGCAACTGATGCTCAAGCAAGAGAACGTGCATGGAGAATTGGACAAAATAAAAATGTCACTATCTACAGACTTATTACTGCTGGTACTATTGAAGAAAAGGTAAAATAATAATTTTTCCTTTTCCTAAACATTTTTTTATTAAAAATTAACAATTATAAATAAACATTCTCAAACATTTATTTATTTATTTTAATAAAAATGTTATTCCTATAAAAAAATTCTATTTTGTTTCAGATTTATCACAGACAAATATTTAAAATACTTCTTTCAAATAAAGTCTTAGAAGATCCACGACAACGTAGATTATTTAAAACTAATGATTTAGTTGAACTTTTTAATTTCAATGAATCTATAGATGGTCATTCTAGTGAGTCTGATCAATTATTTCAAGAATCTAGATTAATTCCTTCGATTAATAAATTTTCATCTAATAAAATTGAAAAAATGCAAAAAATGGCAACCAAACTTAGCAAAAATATAAGTCAAAATGTCTCAAAGAATACATCTGCAATACAAATAACAGCTGCTTCAGACAATAATTGTTCAAGTTGCTATAATAATAATGTTGATCAAGATATTAAAATATGTAAAAATAATTTAACAAAACAAATCATCAAAAATGAAAATATACTTTTTTCTGAAAATCAAAAAAATGATAATAACAAAACTATGGAGAATAAAATTGTAAAAAATACTGAACATAATACGGATAATATGATTGATAAACTAGAAAATGAAAATTATGTTTTAACAAACAAATCAAATTCTAATATTAAAAAAAATGGAACTATTGTACAAAATGATTCCAATATAACCAAAGTTTCATATAAAAATAACCAAATAATTTTAGGTAATGAAAATAAAAATGCATCTTTAAAATTAAATAAGACGCATTATAAAAAAAAAAATAAGAAAAGTTCAATATCAGAAAATCATACTGCTTCAGCTTTATTTGAAGGAGAACGTATCTCACATTTAATTGGACGACGTCTTGGATGTTCGCTAACAAAAGAATCTAAGTCTTCATCAATTGAAGATGATCAATATGTTTTAGAAAAGTTATTTGCTAAAGCGAGTAATTGTTGCTTATTATATAATTGAATTCTTATATAAAATATATATAGAATAATAATAAACATATAAAATAATTTTTTCTAGATGTAATGTCTGCTTTTCAACACGAAACAGTATTATCAAATTCAAAGTATAATTCAGATGATAAAAATCCGATGCAACGATTAGCGCGTGAAACAGCGCAAGAAAATATGAATAATATTCGTAAATCTCGGAAATGGTGTTGGAAACCCACATGGAATTCTACATTATTAAAAAATAATTAATTTTTTGTGGATAATTAATATTTGAATTTAATTTGTTATATGTATATTTTATCAAAAGTTCTTTTATTTAATAATTTTGAATTTTCTAATCAAACAAATAGAAAAGAAATTAATATTGATTTAAATTTGTATTCAATTGATGTAAAATTGTATTCAGAAAAATAACACTGTTTAACAACAAGTGGATATATGTACAACAAATATTTAGAACTTAAAGTATTTTTTCCTAACAATTCATATTAAAGTAATTTTTTATATTTTTGTAATTTTACTTTCTTTAATTTTGTAAAAAAAAATATTATGTTTATAATTATTTCTTATTTAAATATTAAATTATTTTTGTACATTAAATATAAATGTATGAATAGTTAAAAACAAAGCTTTTTTATTATGATACCGTCATTCCTTATATTATCTATATATATATATATATACATATATACTCAGGCACTTAGCACTTATAAAAGGTGAATTGAAACTTAAGAAATGTAACATGTAATATTTTCATGATCAAAAAAATACTACTATTTTTTTAATTAAATTCTTCAAATATTTTTTACTTATATTACTAACTATAACACTTTGGTGTATATGAATTACTATAATTTATTATTAAGTAATTGTAATTAAGTAATTAAACAATTAAAAAAAATTTGTGAAAACATTTTTTATCGAAAATTTTGTATACTCATGTATATACTAAACATATATGAATATACATATTTATATATTTAGAATGAGTATACTTAACTTATTAATAAAAGAAATTTCTTCATAAAATATTCTTTTTTACCTTTTTACATTCAATACCTTAGAAATTCTTGAAGCTTAGGACCATTTCTACCTAAAGGATCTTCAGGAAACATAACATAATTTCCTACAAATGTTGGAGTTAATAATCGTTTTTCGATTGTTTCGCGCCATTCTGGTTTTTCATTGTATAGATCTCTATATTGATCTAAAGAAACTACAATACCTCCACACATTGTTGCATATTCTAATATAAATCTAGAAATAATAAAAATACTATTATATAAATTAAAATAGTTCATGTTATTAAGAAAACAAAAATTTACCGATCATCGTAAGGAGTTATCCGTTTACCACCGATAAAACGACTTGGTGTAAAAATTACTATTCCATCTGCATACATCTTTTCAAGTAATGGATGGTTTGTTGATCTTCTATATAATGGTACAAATACTTTTACAATATGGCCTCTTTGTCTGAAATAATTTGCAACTATCATAATTCCTTCTTCTGAAAATGTTTTACCATTTTTATGCCTAAAATATTAAACTCATATTATATATGTGATTAAAATAAATAAATTAAATATATTCACTAAAAAGTTAAGTTATCATACGCCATAGCTATATTGTTGCCGTCAATTACTATTTCCCTTAATTTATTACATGGTTGTGTAGATGATCCAACTGTAGATAATTCAGGTCTATATAGTTCAAATCTGGATCCAATGTTATTTGTTTTAAATGCAAATGCAGTTTGAGGATTGTATAGAATTGGTACTGTACATCTAGTAGATGTAGTAGATGTAGTATATTTATTAAATGTAGTAGGTGTAGTAAATTTAGTATACTTAGTAAGTGTAGTAGATGTAGTAGTAGATGTAGGATATTTAGTAAATGTAGCAGATGTACTAGATGTAGTAGATGTAGTAGATGTATTAGGTATAGAATAATTCAATATTCGTCGTCTAAGATTCCTTAATCTTTGAGGTGTTTTTGGTTTACTCATTATAATATTTTTACTTATATTATGAGGTTTAGGAAGTTTCAAACCACTTTTACTGAAAGGTAGATAATTAGGATTTTCAATTTCATCTTCTTTTTTTTCTTCATTTTGTGCATCATTTTCTTGAATATTTTTTTTATTTTGCTGTGATATTATTTCCTCATCACATTCTAAACAACTAAGATTCTTTGGATCTGGAGTACTATCTATCATAAAAATTCTATCATTCTTCTCTTGATCTATAGTTCTTACTTTTTCTTGATCTATAGATGGAGGAGTTCCCGTAGATGACCATACTACAACAATGTCATCTGATCCTTGAGTTACATAATCTGAGACTGGAACTATAAAAATTAAATTATAATAAAATAATATATTTGTTTTATAATAAATTTTTTACCTCTGTTTTCATCATCTAAATCTACAGTTGTAATTTCTGAATCTTCTGTATCAGATATTAAAAGACAAGATGAATTACTTTCTAATAATGCAACAATATTTTTTTTTTTTCTTTTTCTTGGAGGTCTTTCTATTTCAGTTTTTGTTTGATTTAAAATTTCATTTGAATTACTTTGTGTATTTTGTTTATCATTTATTAATATACTTAAAGATCTCTTTTTTGTTTTTTTTTTTTTTTTACAATTATTTTCATCTGCTTTATTATTTGATTCACTTTCATTATCACTTAAAATAATTATGGTATCTTGTAAAGATTTTTCTTTTGTCGAAGAAATATTTTTTTTATTTCTTGTGATCTGTTTAGTTTTACGAATTAATTTTTTTAATGTTTGCGTTTGTTCTCTTTTTTTGTTGCTATACAAGGAATTTTTATATTTTTTATTCATATTATATATGATTTTATTCGCATTACATTTTTTTTACATCATAAATTTTTCCACAAAACTTTAACTCTTTTTTATGAATAAAAATAAAAAAGAATATTATTGAATATAGATTGTTTTGAAAAATTATAACAAAAATAACAATAATCTTTTGTTCAATATAAATTAATATTGCCAATTATATTTAATATATTTATACAAATAATATTTACTTTGCCGATCATTATAGATAATATGATTTATGTTAAAACTAAGTTGAACTGGTAATCTATTTTTATGTATTATTGAACAAGATATTAATCCATAGTTATTTTATAATATTATTATAACATTTAAATATGATATTTATGATTATAAAATATTTTTTTTTATTTTTATTCATAGAATATGATAGTAAATTTTTATGGAAAATTTGATACTCTAAATAAATTTATTTTTTTTTTTATTACCTTAATTGAATATACTTTAATGGTCTTTCATAAAATGTTCGTTTTACATTTTTTCTTGACTTTTTTATTCCTAAAGGGGTTTTTTTCTTTGTTGACTTTGGAGATATATTACAAATTATAACAGAGTTATTCAAAGTACTCATTTTAAGATTAATACTTTTTTAATATGTCATTCTAAATGTTAACATTTATATTTTATAAATAATATGTTTTATAAACAAAATATGAAACTGCTCCTTAAACAATATAAAAAAACTTGAAATATTCCTTATTAATTATTTAAAAAAAATTGATTATAAATCCGCTACTTACGGTTGAAGTATAAAATAAATTAACACTTGTAAATACGTTAATGAAAACTGTTAATAATTATATAAATATATATGTAATCAATATTAAATAAATTATTTTAACATTTTTATTAATTTTGTGCATTTTTAACCATTTTTCACGAAATTTTTTATAAATAAAGAAACAATTATATTTTTCTGTCATTAAATATTATTTAACCTCTTCTATAAACTAACCAGAAAATATCATTAGTACAATACAAAAGTTTAAACAGCTGAAAATTTCCCTATAAAGTATACACAGTAATTATACTTGTATAATAAATCTTATTTTATTCTTCTAACTCTTTTAATAATTAAAATTTATATTTTTTTACGTTATTCAATTATATGAAATTTAATTTCATAAAAACAATATCATCTTGATATAAGAATTTCATAT